ATGCTTGTAAATCATTTGGACCTGTGTAGTATCCTTTGCTCCTCAAAACATCTCATCCTTTTTCTTTTCATTTAATCTCTGGAAGCCTTGATTTTTTCTCTATCACAGAAAACTTTATTTGCATTTGATCGTGCACGGAAGCAAAAGTCGTAAGCTAGAGTCAATTTGGAGCCACTTTGCTCTCTCTCTCACTCTCTTTTTTAATGTCACAATAAAAACTTTTGCTTTGTCATCGCTGCTCTAAGGTGTTTAATTGATCATACAGGCTAGAGCAGATTTGGGAAGCTAAGGGGACAAATGCAATTTGCTGCATTTCAGCTCTTGACCTGCTGTCAGGCAGGAAGAGGTGAACTGCAGACCCGTGGTGCGTGCTTCGTGTCTTCCCTCCTTTCCCTCCCACGTGAAGGGGCAGAAACAGAAGGAGAGGAAGTTGCTGGGTAGTGTCCTGTAGGTCTCCATAGAGAAGCCCAAGCAGAAGAAATGAATAAAATTTCAGGAACTACTGAATGGGGGAGCATTTGCTTCTCCCCACAAGTGTCTGCCAGTGAAGGGGGGGAGGGCATGTGTTCTGTGGTCGATGTCACGCTGCCTTTGGCCAAATGCTGAAATGCTGCACAAACACGTGCAGAAGTGACTGACTGAATTGGTGCGAGCTTTAGGGGCAGAAGCCAAGGACATGTCTTCCAGCGCCTTGGGAAGTGAGTTACGCCACATCCCCCTGCCCTTCCCCGGGGCATTTGAACCTCGGAGTGAGTTTTATTTTCTTTCACCCCTGGTAATGTAGCATTTCAGCAAACAAGAAAGGGCCTGGATTTGTCCTGGGCAACAGCTGAAACATTGCCACACTGTGGCAATTCTTCTGGGCCCATTTTAGAAGGTTTAACAGTAAATTAGTCAAGAATGGAAGGCTGTGGGAACTGAAGAAGTTCAGAGGTGTGGCTGAAAGGAGAGATTTTTGCGGTTAACTTTAGTAAGAGTTGTGTACAAGGTTTACCCTTGACCTCGTTTGGCTCCTTTGGATAATGAGTAATTTTGCCACAATGGTTGTGGAAAAACACATTACAGCAGTAGCTGTTTTTTGCCACTGTGCCAGTAAACAGGCTTGCACATGCACGCACACTCAGTGCTGCAAGCAAAACTCCAGGCGGGTCCCACAAGGGTATCCTCCGGCAAAGGAGGACTCTGTACGCTCAGGATTATAGCCAGGGAAACACAGCTTTCATTTTGGGCTAGAGAAAGAGGAAATGGGACTTCTAAGTTGCATTAAGTGTGAGAGCTTCTGCTGAGTATATGCATCTGTTTTACAGCCCTTTAGGGTTTGGTGGTCCCAAGCAGCAGCGCGTATGCTGCTGTGGTGTACTCTTCCTCTTTACTTTCTGCCTCTGCACAGGGGCATTCTCCTGCCTGAAACTTGGGCTGAACTGGTCCATAACCTGCTTAGTCAGAAATAGCGGTAGGCAGGTAGAAATCCCCAAGAGAGCTAAGTCCATCTTGTTTCTGGCAGCTTTACTCTCTACAGCTTTGCAAGAATTATCGCAGCTCGGCAGCTTGTACCGTCTTTTGCTCTGCATGCAAATGCAGCTCTGTTCTTGCTTCATCCCCCTCTCTCTGCCCTTGCTGAGCAGCTGAACATCCATATAAGCAATACCATACCCAGAGACGGTTCTCATGGCGGTGTGAGATGCAGACTGCTAAAGACTAGCAGCTGGGTGAGAAAGCAAAATTTCCCCTTCCCTGGGCTGCTCACCATCATGTCTGTTGTTGTGATACCCCATCCCCAGCCAGAAAATGAAGTCCTAATTCAAAGCCCTCTGAAGTCAAGGGATTCTTTCTGTTAACATCCAGGGCTTTGGGGCAGAACCTGGGAACGACTGGAAATGCTTGATAATGCTTCAGTTGCATGAGCAGCACTAAGCATCAGCTGATTTGGACCTTTTTTTTCCCCAGTGTTAATTCCTAGAGAACAAAGAAGGGTTCCTGGCCACGCTCACAGTTCGGTTCGTGTCGCTTTTTGGCACAAAGAGTGCTCTCTTTAATAAGCGGCCAATGGAAATCAGTCTGCAGAGTTGCTCGCTTGAAGCTGTAGCTCGGGCCGCCAGGACGGTAGGAGCGTGTCCCCTCGCAGAGAGCCCTGCAGCAGTGCAGTTTCACGTCCTTGCTGCGTGGATGCCTGGACCAAAACGCCCAGCTGCTAGAGGGAGGAAAAACAACCCCAGAGAGCTCCCAGTGTGCGAGGCAAGCCTGCGCCGAGCTCCGTCTCCCCTCGCGGACTTAACGGATGGCCTAGCTGAGTTGTGTGCGTGTAGAGGTGGTATTTATACCGTCTGAGTTTGGTCTGTAAGTTCGTCACCAAGGCTGCCGCTTTGGTCAGCGATGGAGTCTTAATTTAGACTCTTAACTCCCACTCTCTGCATTGACTGTGAACGGAGTCTGGGTTTCTAATGTGAACGCTTTAAATAACTGCCTCAAGTCAGTCCCTGCTGCCCCGTTCCCAGGCTTGGGCGTTCGTCGCCGGCTCCTGCCCCTCTGAGGACGCCCCTCGACTTCCCTGAGCTCCGCCGCTCTGCCTGTGCGGAAAGCTGACCCTGGAGAGCTGCTTCACCTCCGCTGACTTTTGTCTTTACATTTACGTGAGGTTAAGTCAGATCCTAGACAAACATTTTAAAACGCTTCCCTAAATCTGCTGCTCTAAAATACTGGGCATTGTCTTCAGTTGTGAGGGATTTTTTTTTTTTCAGTTTTTGTTTTTGGTCATGCCATAAATGATTTAAGTAGTCCCAATCCCCCTATTTGGGAATTCATCTGTTTACGTGACACGTTCCAAGAAATGTATGTAAACATCAGTCTGACGTGCCATCTCCTTGGCAGGACGTTGCCTTTGGAAGATGGAATGTAAATGCAGCATTTTTCAAATAGCATTCGGACCTCGTAGTGAGAAAACGCAGCTGAGATTCACCCTGGCGGCCCAGCAGCCAGGCGCTGCCTCTGGGGACTCGCGAGCTCGCCCGGAGCAGGCTGGAGGTGAGGGACCGAGCGTGAGGAGGGTGTGCAGCCCCGCCACGGCACGGGTGGGAAAACCGTACAGCCGCAACCCCGCTGCAGGGCTCAGGAACGTGCGTCTCGCTAGGAGGGGCAAGGACAAGATCTGCAGCCCCTCGTTAATTCCTCCTTTCCCCCCCTCGACATCTCCCCCGTAACTGCGCGCCTGAGGATCAGGAGAAAGTGCATTTCATTCTGGGTTTTGGCACTGAGTTGCAGGGAGACCTGTGGCCAAGTCTTCCCACTTTCTAAGACTCTACTTCTGCGTTTATTTTTTTTTAATGGGGAAACGTACGGGTATTTTGAGGAGCACGATTTCAGTGTGTGTGAAACGCTTTGAGCGCCCCATTGAAAGGAGTTGTATGTATCTCCCTGAGCTGGGGAGGTGGTTTTCTTCCCCTTCCCCAGCCCTCCTCCAGCTGTTGGCTGAATGGCTGAAGGAAGGGTTGGTGTGGTTGGGAGCATCTTCTCTGCATTGTTTCATGTAATTTTAGTACATCAGCCCCGGAGCAGAAGATGGTGCAGAATTTTATTGTTATGGTGCAGAAATAAGAAGAAATCGGCTGTTCAGAATTCAATAAGTTTTGGGGATGTAACTAGTTCCCGTGGGCCTTTTTGGAGAGAAAAAAAAAAAAAAAGAAATCACATTCTAACAAATGGACACTCTCTGCGAAAGGCTTCATTGTGCAGCTGGGTTGTTACAGAGTGTTCCCCCACACAATGCTTTATTGTGTGCTGTGGATGAGATTTGGGATGAGGGCTGAAGGATATCTCAGGACAGCCAGTGGGAGACTCCCTCCAATGGTATATCTTCCTCCGGGCAGCGAACAGCTGTCTTCAGCTACAGCTGACGCCCAAGTACTTGTCTCGCCACTTGCAACAGACATAGGCTGCACTGCGACCCGCTATCGAATGTGGGACGTGTGCGATGGGAGGCATTGAGTCCATTTATCAGTCAAGTGATAGGTTATCGTTCCCCTTCCCTTGTGCGCTCTTCCTTCCCACCGACATCTCCCCGGTCTGCTCTGGCTCTCTCCTCGCCCTCCCAGATTCATTCCCTATTGTTTCTTTCCCAGCCTGCAGCTATGGCCTCTCTTCTTTCATACTAACACCTCCCATGAATATTCTTCCAGGTCCCTTATTCTCCTTCAGCGCTTTCCTGCACAGCCTGTCAGCATCAGCCCGTTCTTTTTGTGGTTCAGCTTAGGGACCCTTTGCTGTGGTGACGTTTTTACCATATCATAGTGTCATGCAAATGCTGGCTGTGCAAAGATTTGAGGGAGGGGGAACACCATGCTTGCGGTGAGACATGCTACTCCTCACGTAGGGGAGAGGACACAGGTCCTTGGAGCCACTCAGCCTCAGTCTCCAACTTCAGGTCCTGACTTCACCTCTCTGGGTTGGTTGGTTGGTTTGCCCTGCTTCTGTCAGTAGCATCTCCGTGTCCTCTCTCTTCTGTCTTTCTCTTGCAAATCTCCTTCAGGATGATATGCACCTTCACTTGCAAAAAATTCAGCTTCTCGTCTTTTCCCCTAAAAGAGATGGGAATTGGCTATTCAGGCAGCAAACCAAACGCTTTGTCATGCTTTCACGTGGCCCAACATGGAGCTGGGAGAAAGTGCTGCTGCTGTTTCTGGCGTAAGAAAACATGGCTATCTGTCTGTTACAGTGGTCTCTAAGCAAGTTCAGTTTGCAGATGATCTGGATGCTGAAATGCTGAGGGTTTGGGAGCACAATGCATAAACCCTCACAATATTTCCTTTTTGGTAATTCCTCTGTATGAGATCCCTTTGAAAGTCTCAAGGCTCAGTGCTAGCAGCTTTTGAGGTATAGCCAACAGAAATGACACCAGCTGTTCCTTGTCATCTCCTTTTTGATACAGATACCAGCACATCAAAACAAAGCTCCTGTTGTGGGACTGATATTTCTCCCTCCCCTTTTGTTCATTCTTCACCTCCTAGGAATTTGGCAGCACAAAATCCATCACATCGAGGTGCGACTTCCTACAGAATCTTATTGCAAATGGTTGTGCAGGAGCAATCGAAAATCCTAAAAGCAGCATTAACGTAGTGAAGAACGTTCCTCTGAGCACCAAGGGCTCTGGCTTGACCCATTCGGATGTTACACAAATAATGCCTCAGAAGATCTCCTTGAATCTTCGGCCTGGTGAGTCCCCAGCGGCTCTGAGCCGCGTTCTGGCGTAGAAGAGGTCTGGCGCGGGGGAGGAAATGCTGAGAGCATATTATAGCCTGTGATCATAGAGACAGCTAAAACAGGTGGCTGCTGGCCCCTTCCAGAGCCCATGAACTTCAGTGTTGCACCATGAACAGAACTGGGTCTGAGGTATGTTTTTAGTTTGAGAGGACTCTGCTCTTATGCTTGTGATCCAGGTCAACCAAATCCTATATAAAACTCTTATAGATGCTTGTCTTAACCCTTTCATATATTCATAAAGAACCTGCTCAAGTTAAAAATGCAGTGAGTGGATGGAAAGAGTAAAAACAACTGTGGATCCTACATTGACCTGACAGTGCTTGAAGCTTGAGTCTGAGATGGTTCTTTGTATAAATTAAGAAAAAGAAAAGCATATCTGTTTTCTGTTGGTATGTTAAAAAAAAAAAAAAACAAAACATGGGATCAAGGCTTATAATGGAGAATTGAACTTGTGACTCAGAACTGGGACTGTATCCATATCGCTGTTTCATTCCCCTGAGCCATCACTTTTCTATAAATCTTTTTCTTTTAATTAAAAATTAAAAGTGAAAGGCTAGACTGAGCCATGCAAGTATGCTTGTTATCAAAAGTTTTTGCATGGTGGGGGGAGGCTTTAATGTGGGTTCAGAATTCTTGAAAAAATTTGGCATCTCATGTTTCTGAAGAAAAAAAGCTCTTTATGGCAAAGTTAAGAAGCAAATATAAAAGCTCGATTCATTATAAGCAATTGGTGTGGGTTTTTGAGACTTACTTTGTGACAGCTCTCATGAGCATACAAAAAATGAAATAACAATGTTTTGTCCAGGAAAAGCAGTTCTGTGAGCTGGTGCTCAGTAGCATGCTACCAGCACTCTTTCAGGGCCTAGGAGTTTCTGCAGAATTTCAAAGAATCATTGAATAGTTGAGGTCAGCAGGGACCTCTTGAGATCAGCTGGTCCAACACCTCTGCTCAAGCAGGGTAAGCTAGAGCAGGTTACCCAGGGCCATGTCTGGTCTAATTTTGAGTATCTGCAAGGGTGGAGACTCTACAACCTCTTTGGGCAACCTGTGCCAGTGTTTGACCACCTCACAGTGAAGAAGTGCTTTCTTGCATTCAAGTGGAATTTCCTGTGTTTCAGTTTACCTGTTGCCTCTTGTCCTGTCATTGAGCACCACGAAGAGGAGTCTGGCCCCTCTTCTTTACAACCTCCTATTTGTATTTTATATGCATAGGTTGAACAACAGTGATGGCTCTTAAAACAGGTCTTTCTAAGCATTATTACTGGTATCATCATTCAGACCCTCACTTGTAGAGGAATTTGCTTCAAAATCCTTAAAGCAGATACCGGCTTAAAGTTAGCCATCATTGTATCCCTGTCTAGATGAGTCTTCCTAAAGAGTGTGGTGGTAAGCCCAGAGCTGGTGCCCCGGATCAGGGAGCATGGTAATGCCAGAGGTTGCTCCCTGGCCAGGGTGTGCAGGTTGGGGCCTGCTGGGAGGCACATTGTTGGAGAATGTTTCTGCAATTTAGTGTTGCTTATGAAATAGGTTCACTCCTGTGAAAGAGGAGTTATTTACTCCTGTTTCTTGAGGCAATTACTGGCACAAAAGGCTGATTCAGCAAGGCTCAGCTTTGAAATCTCACCCCCTTCACATGCAGCAGCCAGTGCCTGGCAAATGCCACAGCTGCTTCCAGAGACAGCTTTGCACCATTGGCAGCGTATACACTCGGCCCTTTGGTACTTAGGCTTTTGGTGAGGGGGTGATGAGGGTTTTGTCTCTGACTTTCTTGGGGCCAGGTTGCTGGCTGCTGGAGCTGTTATGGGCTGTGCTCAGCAAGCATGTGTGGGACAGACGTGCATTATCCTCCTGCCTGGCCTGACCTCACGGGGGACCAGATTTGTGGCCTTTCGATTTGCTCCGTGGCCACCAGCAAATTCGCCAGGTGCTTGCTTACAGCATGGTATTGTGCAGAATGAGGGCTGCCCTTCGGTTCTGATTAGACGGGGGAGAAGCCCCTGTATTGGGCTTGGAGTGTCAGTCTCAGGGCCCTTTCAAACTCCCTTATAGGAGGAGGAGAGGCAGGGATGGGTGCCACCACATCTCTGGGGTACCGCTGTTGCTTCCCAGCCTGCTGCAGGTTGTAATAGCCTGGCAGAACAGCAGCAAGCTGCATGGAGAATTAAGCTGAGACTACGCTGCTTCTCAGGGGGGTCCAGCAAATTCAGGAACAGCCAAAGGAAGAAGAGGGGATGAGACTCCCAACAGGCTTTTCACCCTCTCAGCCCTGGGCTGACAGGGCAGCTCCTCCTGTAACTGGGTTATACTGCCCTGCGTGGGCAGCTTGAAAGTTTACTGGAAAGTGCCCAGTGCTGAGGAATTGCCCCGAGGGCTCACATAGCACTACTCATGCCGTGGAGCTCCCCTCCTGCCACTCTCTCTATGCTCCTGCTGCACAGTATTGGAGTCATTGCAGGAGGAGGAGTGTTTTAAAAGTGTCTTCCATTTTTTTCTCTTTTGATGTTGAGCAACTTTCCATCTTACTTAGGGCTAATGACTTCCTAAATCCTTGAATTAGGATCCCCTGGTGAAATTATCCATTAATTTTTGAGCTTAATCACAGAATGGTTGAGGTTGGAAGGGACCTCTGGAGATCATCTAGTCCAACCTCCCTGCTCAAGCAGGGTCACCTAGAGCACGTTGCCCAGGATTGTGTCCGGACGGGTTTTGAATATCTCCAGGGAAGGAGACTCCACAACCTCTCCGGGCAGCTTGTTCCAGTGCTCAGTCACCCTCACAGTCGAGAAGTTTATTCCTCCCCAGGTGCAGGACCCAGCCAGTTGTCCCATCATAGAAGGCTATCAGGTTGGTAAGCATGATTTCCCTTTAGTGAATGAAGAATGAGTCTTGATTGCTTCGCCCAATAGATCCAAGACAAAAAGGAGACAATATTGATTTGATTTTGTGCATAATACCAATTTTGTGTTCCGTCAGAAAATTTTAGGCATCGGTTGTTTCAAAGCTGAATTCATATAGCTATTTGTGATGATTGTGATCTTTTATTCTTAGACTACTAAGCAGAAGCAGAACAGAGTGGCTAGCTGTGAATTGTTACTGTTCCCACCTAGGGAGTTTGATCTACTCATCCTGTGGCATAAGTCATATCTCCACACTCCCAGAGTTGATCTCCGAAAGCTTTAAATTGATGTCTTCGTTAGAGTAGCTTTCAGATCAAGCATTTAGTTTTTACTAAATTGTGTTTTAAGCTTGGGTCCAGCTATAAAGCAGAAGTGTCCTGCTTTAATAGAAGAAATATGAGTAGTCCAAAAGGAATTTAAAAAAATTAATAAATTCACATTGTATTGTCTGTTAAGCCTTAAGCCTCACCAAGCAGAAACAAGAGCTTTTCCTGGATAATCATAATTGCCGAGTTTGCATTCTTAAATTGGCCAAAAGCATTTTCTCCAGTTCCTGCCCTGCCTCTGTGCCTCCAACAACAGTATCCAAGAAATGTTTTTGTACTTATTTTTGAAATAAAAACACTTCAGTAAAAGCTCTAAGGAGG